TGAAAAGATGGAAGTCACTATGGCCTGTCAGGTCCCCAGGACGTACCATGTGACTGTAAAACCTCCAGAACTGCTCCACCTGCAATGACATGAACCATATGTGAGGCTGCTCAAACTATTCACAGTCAAGATTCCTACAGAAACAGGATTCCCTTTCTTCACCAGCCAGCCACAGCCACCCTCCACTCTTCTACTTTCTTGTCACAAGGGTGTTGATTGGGATACCCAGAAAGCAGTAGTAGGATCAGCGGCTGAGTGCATGTTTCTGACTGTTACCAGATGACCACTTGAAATATTCAACATGTGTCTCCAAAGTCACCTGATGTTTGAAGAAATCTGTGCCAAGATAACTGCTGCTCTAGAGAACAGTTGCAAACAGATCTCACAAATCCTACTGCTCAAACTTCCAATCAGTAGATCAGCTATCTTTCTACACTACACACATTAGCCCTGCATTAACCACTGCTCTCTGCAACTGTGGAGACTTCAGGAGCATTCACAAATGAGACATTTTTTGTATTTAATTTTACTCTATCCAGGTTTTAAGATATTCTGGTGCTGGTTTAAGATCTTAAGAAACCATTTAAACCTTTGGTTGAAACATTCCTTTTGCAATCTGCCACAGTTGGATCACTTCACTTTGACCCATTTCCATTCTGACACTCCTGTGTCTACTACAGACAATTTGGCTGGAAGGCAAGGGAATTACCTTTTCTAATTCTCAAAAATAACATATTTACCCTTTAAGATTCTCTGAATAAGAAAGGATTTTAGAGAGGCTGGATCTTTAAAACAAAACAAGGCACTGGAAGACATTATACTAATTTCTGTATTTTAAGAGGATTCCACTCTGCAAGTCAATAGTTATTAAGCAGACCAGCAGTGAAGTTGGAGGGGCCAGACACCATCCCAAGTACTTTATCAGAGACCTTAATGACCTGGTCAGCACGTGGAATTCTGCTCCAATCTCTGACCTCTGCCACCCAAGGAGGAATTTGCTTTTGTAGCCAATAAAATTATGAACCAAGACTGAGGTGGGGTCAGAAACAATCTATTTTTATCAGGCACACCCAAATACAGTGTGGAAATTATCTTTTTACATCGAGTGAATATGCCCTCTAGTGGTTAGCACTTAAAAGCTTTCAGAGCTTTCTACTGAAAAGTAAAGAATAAATCTGAACCCAGATTTAGGCTCAAGACAATTATTTCAAAAGCTTGCTCTTCCTCCTCCTTAAAGAGAATTTGGAACCAAACACACTATCAGATCTGAATCTCTCTCCATCCTAACTGAAATCTAGCAGTTCCAACTTTCAACAACATGACAAGTTCTTCAGAGCAAGAGGCAGACAACAGAACGTGTTAATTTTCTTCCTCTGAGGAGCTAAAAATCAATGTTAAGTCTACACTGGTTTAACAGACTGAAAATTTACACTCAATTTATTTCAGGAATAAACAATGACAAAGAATCAAAGGGGAAAAGGAAAGCTGCTTGCCTTTTAATAAACTTCACGGTAACACCAAACTGCATCTCAGTCATCACTTCTAGACAGAAAACAGGTCACCAGCTGCCTGTATACACACTTCACCAGATGCTTTTTCCAAACACACTGGTGCAAATACGGGCAGGGGAGAAGTGTGTGTGGGGAACTGTACAGTCTTTGTTTCACACCTATACTGCATCTAGAAAAGATGTTCCTTCCCTCTCTTGCTTACCTGTCAAGTTCCAGTCCAGTTAGCAGTTTTAAACTACATGGGAGTTCTTTTAATTTTCTATTATTATTTCAGCTGCCACCAAAACTGCAGGCACAGATGGCTAGCACAGGGCAGAGGAGAACTGCTTAAGACATGTCATCTGCTGAAGGTAATTCAAGACTGCATACGTAAGTCATGGCATATCATTCACTCTCCTCTTGTTGCTCCTGACAAAACAGAGAGCACAGCCTGCATGCACATACTCCTAGCACACAGGGAGCGAGCAAGCCAGCCACAATGACCACATCATGCCCAAGTGCACAGGGACAACAGGGATGTACTCACGGAGGCAAAGGTGCCAATCTGTTTGATGTTCTGTTCATAACTCTGTGAGCTGGTGGGTCTCCCGGGTGTTCGTCTGGAGTACCAGAAGGTATAATTATACTGCAAGGGGTGCTCAGCTGGGCCTGGGACAACAGCCTGCAGAAAACAAAAGCTTGCTTTATCCTTATGACCCACTCTAAAAGCAGAAGAGGAAAAAGTAATTTGCAGCATCAGAAGCCCACGTGTTCCTGCTTCACAGGCTATAAAACAAGCAACTAACCCTCCTTTTTTCAGAATATCTGATAATTGTCTGAAATGGACGATTAGGCTAAAAGCAGCTGACTATTCCAAAGAATATTAGAAATCTGCAGCACAGACAAGGCTAAGGAAATAATAACTTGCGTTCAGAAAAAGGCCGTCAAAAAAGCAACTCCCATAACTATTAGAGACAGTATTACTAAATTTTCCTTTAGTCCTTAACTGTGCCTGTCTCAAAGGGAAAAAAACAAACTAAAAGGGCAACGCAAGAGTTTCAACTATTTCAAATTAAGAAAAAAAAATTAAAATCCCCAAACACTCTTTCTCTGGGAAGAACAGAACCCATTTATATCAAACCATGATTCAAAAGCAATTATAACTCTTCAGTGACACCAACTCCCTCAAGCAACCAACACCCTAACACTGGGAGGATCAGTCTCAGAACTTGTTATGTCAGCTTTGGCGGAACCCATCACTAGCAGTGGGTAGTGATCATTTTTCAATTTCTAAAACACCCATTTCTGATTACAAACACTCCCAATGAGCACAAAAGACTTTAATGGGAACTCACTGACCAGGAGTCAAAACTGACATTAAAATAAAAATGAACCAAAAAGCCCTTCTCTTCTATCACTTGATGTTGCATCAAGAGTTACTAGGGCTTAAATCTCTACTCTCCTCTTGTCTGTGGCAAGTTGGTAAGGACTGCATTACTCCAGACAGAATAGTTTTCCTAAGAACAAGATTAAAACAGTAAATGAAAAAGGATGGATATATACTTCTTAACTAGGCTACACTGCACATACAGAGACTCACCTTAAGAGTTATAGTTACTACAACAGTGGCACAAACACAACCTGGTAAAACAACTGCAAGCCACTACTCCCCTGCCAACCAGCCCTTCCTCTACAACCTCTTCCAAAAATTAATTTTTTTCTTTTTTAAATAAAGCTTTATTTCTCATTTTTATTCAAAAGCCAGGCAGAGTACTAGCTGAGTGTGTGAAGGGAGCATTCACCCCTCATTCATCCACCTCCAAAACCTACAGCAAATTATCCAAATGCTAACATAGCCTGTCTTCATTGTAACAGTAACAGAGCAATAAGCTACCAGAGCCCACCAAGACATACTTTCCTTATCCCCGAACTAAGGACTGACTCTGTAGCACACCAACATCATGCCTTAGCAATGGAATGCAGATGCCAGCACTGTACCTTCCTCTTGGTGGTACTCTGTGGTTTCTCTCGATCGTTCTTTTCCTTCTCACTGTCTTTCTGTGTGTTGTTCTCCTCATTCTGGTCATGGTCTCCACTATCATCATCTTTCAAACTGATAAAGAAACAGAACAAAGAGAGTGAGTCTTATGTTGCACAGCTGAGGAGGTTTATACCAAGCCCCAGCAGTCTCTGCTTCTTAGCTCCTCTGTAGTATAAGGGCTACCAGAGTTTGGAAATCTACACTTGACAACCCACAGAGTAAAATCTACTACTACTTTGCATACCCAGAGTCCATCACAGGCATCTCAGACACATACTTTAAAGCACAAGCAAGCAACAACATGCCTTTTTAGAACAAACTCAAGCAGTCCGAACTAGGCATTCATCTGCCATAGACACCCCCAGCTACTTGTCTGGATCCCTAGCTATTCAGGAAGTAAACAGGTAAGACCTGTCACTGTAACTTTTCTGACTCTCTCCTGCCCACCTCCCCTCGCCCCTAAGCACGCAGAGCCAGCCCCTCAAGCAAGCAGACACCTGAACCCCATAGGTCCCTCTGCCCACCCCATTCCTTGCGAAGGGCCGGAAAAGAAGAGGGAAAAACGGGGCCAAAAGGCGGCCCGCCCCACGGCCGTGCGCGCTGAGGGATGCTCCGCCACGAGCAGAGGCTGGCGCCGCCGGACCCCTGCCCCCACCCCTCGGAGCCAGGCAGCGCCTCCTGAGCAGCGCCGGGCCGGGCCGGGCTGGGCTCGGGGGGAGGAACGGAGCTGCGCGCGCGGCCCCGTGACTCATCGCATCCGGCTCAGCCAGCGCCGAGCCGGCGGGGAGGGGAGCGGCCGGTAGGACGCCGGGCCTCGCCGCCCTCCGCAGCGGTGAGGGGGGGACTGGGGACTGTCACACGCCAACTCACGCGTCGAATTTGTTGTTCATCCTCGCTCGCTGCCGCCACCTCCGTCCACCTCAGCGACTTCCGCCCCGCCGAGTCCGATCTCCAAAGCCTTCCGCCGCTTCCGCCAGCGGTGCCCCGCGCTTCCCCACGGCTCCATAAGTAAGGCGGACGACGGAAAGGGAACAAGAACGTTCCCGGTTGCCATTTGACTGCGGACTCTGTCGGGATCCCCACTGAGGGAAAGCCGCCATCTTGAGTGTGGTGGGCGGGCAGAGCCACCATGTTGGGTGTGGCGTGAGGCGAGGTGTGGCGTTGAGCGGCCGCCTTGCACGGCACATGAGCAGCCAGTGGGTCCACACACTGTCATTTTATTCACGGAGTTCAGTTGTCTCTGGCAGATACAGTTTTAGGATTCAAGCAGTCACTTTTTAAGGGGCCTGTCCAACTTTTCTCCTCTGGTGACAAGCAAGACCCAGCCCCACCACCATCTCTATCTTTTCCCTTCAGTGTATAGTGAGGGACAGTAGAAGCCTCGTACAGATGCGGTTGGGGAATGTCATCAACGTCTTCCACTCCATCCTGTGAATGGATCTGCCAAGATCAGTGACTCATTGCTATGGCTGCTGATGCTATTTCTCTAGCATGAGACATGGGTAGAGTTCAGGGAAAGGAAGCTACCATACAAGTGGAGAGCCTGCAACACCCGGAGCAGCAGATGATAAGGGACAGTTTATAGAGGGCAGGGGAGACTGTCCCTCCTCCAGCGTTTCCTCACACTTCCTGAACCCACTCCCAAGCTACCCTTTGTGCACAGAATCTTCTCATGCTGTTTTGCAAACCTCTTACCAATAATTTCTGCTATCTGGCAGAATTACTAAATGGATTTCTGAATGATGTAGTTTCTGTTTCTCCAACAATTTGTGATATGGAGAGAGAGCAAATCCATAGCCTGTAGTTCAGGTCTATGAAAAAAGGGTATTCAACACATGTAAGGTACTACATGCCCATGTACTATACCATCCGAGTGTATTTTTCCTTGCAAGGCACAGAAATATGGTACTGATATTCCTGTTTTACTCTTTGGAAGCAAAGGCAATGGGTGTCTCAGCAACATCCCCAGAATCACAGCAGTATGGCAGAACGGGAAAAAAAGGGGTCACCCAAGTCTTAGACTAAATATCTTTACCACTGGAACACCATCCTGTTGCTTTATGGGCTCAAACCCGTGTTCATAATCTTAGAAGACACAGAAAATAATTTAGAAATAAATACCAGCAGAAATGGTTTAAAGGTTCATAAAGAATTTCCTAGTTAGTTGCAGTTACACATAAATGGGACCTCTGTGCTCTGAAGACCAGCAGTTTACGAAAGTATTTCAGAAAAAAATGTGCTATGCAAATTGTTTCCAAAATCACCACCTCCATTTTTTTGCTACCTAGGCTTTACTATGGAAATAAATAAAGATATTTATGGAGATAAATAAATAAATGTAGCAGGAGATCAGATATTAAGAAAGCCTTAGCCTGTGAAACAGTCACAGTAGGACACCTGTAGGTAATATTGAGGATTGCTCTTACCTGCAGAAAACAGTGTAAAAGTTTCTCTGTTCATAGTTTCCATCTTGTCTGTGAAATGACCAGGGTCAAACTGTCAAAGACTCTCCCACTGCTCTTGATTATACAGGGCAGAAAATATGTTGAGGAAAATTAAGGTGCCCCACTGAAAGACAAAATGAACATACAAAGATCTTCTTCACAGAGCCAAAAACCAATGGCTTGACTTAGACCGCAAAGATATCAATTGCTCGCTTGAAATTGCCCAATGCAAGTGCCAACTAATTATTCTGGAGTGAAAAATAGGGTCGCACTGTGCTATCTCCTACAGAACGGCTTATTTAGAAATTATTATATTATTCTTAAAGAGTTATTTTAGAACACCAGAGGATGCAGTAATTACAGTAATCAGAGACTTGGGGGGGAAAAACCCAAACACCACTGAACTGCAGGCTCAACACTGATCGAGACCCCTGATTCTGATCTTGATTTTGTCAAAGACATGTTCCCCTAAAGCCACATAGGTATTATCCATTGGGAAGCCAACCTGCATGAGGTTGGGTATGGATTTAAAGTACTCTGCTGGTACAATAAATGCATATACAGACACTGTTATTCTAGAATTTCTGGGGGGTTTATATATAGCTTGTACCATTTAAAAGAAGCCTAGGGTCATTATACTGGTACCTTTATACTGATCTAACACTTGAAATACTGTATATTAAAATGATAAAAGTAAACTGTAAACTGTATGGAAAAATGGTAAAGCTGTGCAAAAGGAGAGGTGTACAGGTTTATTCATATTGTAGGATGTAGATACTGTCCAGCATCCTATTCACAATGAAGACTTCCTCAAAAGTTGCTCAAACTCACCTTTGGATAGTTTTGCAACCAGGAACAAAATATGAGAGATCTCTTGCTTGGCTTTGCTCTGTCTAAGGATTGTCCCCAAACTTTTGTGGTGTTAAGATACCTTAGTGGCATTAATATCTCCTTAGTAATACGGAAGTCTTGCAGTGTGTTATCCTGGGTACTCATAAACCTTCTGCTGCTATAACACATAATCTCATTTAGAACTGCACTTACATATAGCAAGATCACTTGGTTCTTATGTTTAGTTCCACAGGATGGACCAATCACAGCATCCAACTCTTCTTAGACTTGTTCTGCAGAACAAAAGGACTAATAATGAGTATTTAAGAAGGTATCTGATGTGTAGACTCTATGCAGAAATTAAAAATTCCCAAGACACCTTATGCTGCAGGTTTAGAGCACCTGATTCAAATGCATTGTGTCTATTACTCTGCCATGAGCAAGGACAGAGACATGTATAAGTGTGGGTACACACATTTCTCCCCTTGTACTTCCAGATGCACCATTATGGAGAGCTCAGCATAAGGTGATGGTGGTGTCTGAGCCCACTATGAAGAGAAACATGATCTCTGAGATCTGTGCTGTAGAGGGTGGGTCGTCTTTTGCCAATAGATATGAGACAGACAACAAGATTTAAGACTGTTTTAATAGCATAGCAAATCTCAATCAACAGAGCTTCTTTTCATCCCAGAGTGCATACTGAGTTGATGAAGCTGGTAAGACAGCAGCCATGTAGCTCTGTTAAAAAATAATCTTGCTGACTGAGGAAGACAGCGTACAGTAAGCTTTCTTTCAGTCTAGGATGGAACAACATTACTCTGTGCTGGCTGCCAAAGAACACAACTTCAGCACCTTCAAGAAGTACTTTGCTTTAGAGGCTGAATTCAAATGAAGAAATAGCTGAACAGTATCTCAGGAGGAAAAGGAAGTAGGAGTGCAGCTGGAAATGTCTTAGCTACAAGCATTTAAAATATGTTGCATCTGCACAAGAGACAACTACTTGTTGCCTTTAACATGAGATTGGTATGCATCAATGAAATTCTGTGGCTCTGCAGGCACCCAGCTCTTCTGGTAGTTCCTGATCTCATCATTTTCAAAGATCCTGCAAGTGCATTAGTGCCCGCAGCAGTCTTGTTAACATAGTGCTTAAGTGCCTCAACAGTGAGAGGAAATTGTAGAACTGTGCCCAGAAACACAACCAGAAGGAACACCATGACATCTTGGCCTCATAGTGCATTTAAAGCTTGAATCATAGACTCATAGAATAGTTAGGGCTGGAAAGGACCTTAAGATCATCCAGTTCCAACCCCCTGCCATGGGCAGGGACACCTCACACTTAACCATCTCACCCAAGGCTCTGTCCAACCTGGCCTTGAACACTGCCAGGGATGGAGCATTCACAGCTTCCTTGGGCAACACATTCCAGTGCCTCACCACCCTTACAGTAAAGAACTTCTTCCTTATATCCAATCTAAACTTCCCCTGCTTAAGTTTTAATCCATTATAATATTCACAGCAGAGCCATGTTTAACCATTGCTATGACCCAGATGTCTTACTTATCTGACTATAGGAAATAAATGATTACTTGATTTTTAAAAAAATTATCTTAAAGGGAAGTGTGTGAAGGATGAACATAACTATACAGTTAACTTTCCAGTTTGCCTGCTCTTCACTAGTAACTTTCAGATTTGAGTGATCTAAATGCCCTTGAGTGCAGTTTTTCTTCCATGTGAAGTCTTTCCAAATTCATCTGTTCCCTGCTAAATCTTAAGTAACCACTTGGCTGTAGTTCTCAAAGCCACAACCATGTTAGCTTGTCTTTTTTTTTTTTTTTCCTGGATAGTTCTTGCAGCCCAGTTTAATACAGGAAATAAGGGATATTACAAAACCCTTTAAGGCACAAGCTAAGAGGAAAAACCTGATTCTGGCTCCAGGACAAACTTGATGCTGAATAATGTCAATATAAAATTAGATCAGTCTCTCTGAAGGCAGCTCTTGCAAGAGATTGAATGGGCCTGTAAACAAAGCAAGCCAGGAACAGTTGCAGGGGGATCAGAAGTGAGTGCTGATTTTAGCAAAGTTAAGAGCTCTCCTTCCTCTCTGTGCATTGGCAAACAACCATTTAATGCCACAGCTCACTGAGAAATGCTGTCAAGCTTTGATAACAGTTACAAGGAACAGGTCAGTCCTTGCTTATCCAAAGGGTAGGTGCCATGGAATTCTAACATGGCCTGGAAACCTCTGAGGAGCCTCTGGCACATGGCAGTCTCTGTAGAGAAACTGTCCAAAAAGCACATCAGCAATCATGTTGTTGATGGAAGAGGGGAGTGGGACAGAGAGATCCATGCTGACAGACAGGAAAGCTGCATTGTTAATTTCTTTCATAGGCTGTTTTGTTTACCCTGAACTCCCATCCAGCCTGCTCTTGATTTGCATGGGATTACACAAATAGCTGAGCCTGCAAGAATCAAGATGCAGAAGTCCAACTAGGAGACTGTTCTGCAGGCACCTTATAATGAGTGACGGAAAGAGTCCATCCTATAGAAAAGTGCATAATCAGCACAATTTAACAGTGTCTCATCTATCACTTTCTCCCATAAAGGACTGACATGAAAGCAGTGAGTCAGGCGTGGTGTTCCAGTCAAGGGCAGAATGAATTGTGAAAGCGTCAGCTGTGTAAACCTCCCATCAAACCTACTGCAGAAATTGCTACTTCCAGTAGAAAAAGCAGGGTTGGCAACAAGGAGAGTAAACCCATGTCATCACAATCACCTACAGATCTATATTTCACCTTTTTCTCTGGCAAAGACCTCAATCAGACAGCAAGCCAGGCTTCCAGGCTTTTTTTTCCCTAGGCCTAGATTGCTAAGAGCTGTCAGGTTGAAGTGTCTCTGCTCCTTCCAGGTGTGCCCATTGGCAAAGATAATGCCTGCAACAGAATGGGGAAGGACTGGGCAGAAGTATGGGACTGACATCTCCATAAGCAGGACTGGTGCAGTCGTAGTGCTTCCAAGATTTACCACCAGGAGTTTGAAAGTCTCCCTAGCAGTATTTATGTGGGGAATCAGAGGTGTTGGTGCTGATTTTTTCACATCTACTTTACCATTTTTGTGGGAAACAAGTTCCATGCCTGTCTCCTTTTCTGCTTCTTTGTCTAGAACCATGCACTCAAAACATGCTAGGTCCTGCTAGCTGACATTTTTACAGTTTTACATCTTTTAGTGCAAAGACTTCTCGGTAACATGCTCAGTAACTAAGAACTGAACAGGCTATGCAAGTAAATGGGAAACATGAATTTTGTGTGCTGAATGTATATTTGGGGCCCAGTGTGAGAAGGACACGGAGCAGTGGTTCTACTGCATTCATCTTGCTGCCAAAAGCAGCTCATCTTGAAAAGAGGCATTAAGGATAGATGAAGTCATTGTACCAAACTCCATTCTCTGAACAGCTTGTTCTGCTAAGAATGTTTCAGTACACACAGCAATGGAAAGTTCTGTAAGGGCCTCCAACAGCATCTCTAAAAAAGGATGCCACAGGTCTCTCACAAAATTATTCTGCGTGCCCAGGGCATCCTTCACTGCTTGAAACACATTCAGCTGTATCAGTGGTATTTTCCTCTCAGAGTGCGTATGTACTACCATACATCCTGGCCACCCAGAGAAACATGATGACATAAATATATGAGGCATTTTCAGAAAGTCCCTTCCACATCTTAGTGGTACTCTTATGCTAGAGCTCCAAGACTGTTTCTGTTGTCTAAGGGCTGTTTCACAGCCTTTGGCATTGCCTAATAAATGGGTGGGAGAAATTTAATCTTGCTGTCAGGAAAGGAGAGGTTGGAATCATGTTTCACTATTAAAATCTTAAAAGGCTTTCACTGTTATTAATGCATTTCATTACTATTCATGGCTGTTATTCACATATCAGCAGTACACATAGCCATCATCGCAACAACCATGTCATGTTACCCAGAATGGGATTTATTCCATTTACATTACCCCACCAGAGGTTATTGATGGATACTGCAAAATCATAAATATTGCTTTTATTATCTTTCCACGTTTATTTATTTTCCGATCATACAGCTACTTTGGTGTATCAGTATTTACACAAGGAACAGCCTTCATCGTTAAAGTAGAAATTATAGTTGCAATTAACATGTGCAGCCATTAGATGGGAATGTTTGCTCATCACTGGACTGAGCATTGCGCTTGCTAAGGCTGGTGCAGTGAGGCAATTAAGCCAAACTTTTCAAACAGCCATTGATCTGGAGTATCTTATCAGAGATGTGTTGAGTATCATGAGCTGCTTGGGAAGGACTTAGCTCCTACAGATTCTACTGATTGCTGCCAGAGTTTGGGTTGTCAGTAGTTCTGCAAATCAGAACTGTCTCTGGCACCTGTAAACTAGAGACCAGTTTTAAACTCTTCAATCCTGAGTGGTTGAGAAAGACCTGATTTCACAGAGGGAGGGAAGATGAGATAGTGGTACCTTGCTCAAGAATTTCAGATAGCAACATCAGCTAGCTTGTGACTGTATGGGATAGGAGGTAAGGATGAGGTGCTAGATGCACCATCCCTGGAGACATTCAAGTCCAGGATGGATGTGGTCTGAGCAACCTGATCCAGTTAAAGATGTCCCTGCTCATTGCAGGGGGTTGTACTAGATGACCTCCAAAGGTTTTGCTGAGCAGTTGCAGCACTCTGGTAATATATGATGGACACTTGCAAGATGAAAAGGCATATCTCTGCTGTAGGGATTTCGAGGGATCTGGTAAAAAAACACCATTTATAAAGCTGAGCAGAGTTTCCGTGTATCCTGCTTCTGCAGTTTGCTCATTGGAATCCACTGGTAACGTTCTATTGCGGAACTCACATATGTGGTTCAGGAACATCTATAAGCAGGTTTGCATCTCTCTGGAGGTAGGTGCAGGCAAAGGCTCCTCCTTTGCAATTTTTGAAAACAAATGTGTAGCTAGGGATTCTAAAATATGCTGACCATGCTGAAAACGCATGCAAATATGATCAGGCACCTACTGCTGGCACTTGCTGTGAGCAATGGCTGTTTTCTGTAAGGGAGAGTAATTTGAGTAATTGTTCTCACACCAGTTGAAGTCCAGTCTTTTGCCTTAATAGCCCAAGTAGGATGAAGAGGAAAAAAGAAACACGTGCTTGAATCCCTGAGTTGGATTCCATCTAGTACCCAAAGGAACTGCAGAGCCTCTTATTTCTCCTGTACCTGGGAAAATAGGGACCTTTGTCGCTGCTTCTAGTCTCATACCTCCTAGGCTTACAGACTCCTTTTTACCAGCATTGCTGCATTTCTGAGAATAGCCAGAGATGTGGTCATAGCATGAATCCTGAGCTTGAATCCTTCTTCCAGCAGCACATGGAGAAAGAAAAGGGTCCCGTGGGTCTTGTTTGGTAGATGCAGTGTGTAGACCACATTGAAGGAATGTCAGTAACTTCACACATCTTTCTGTGCCTCTACACTCTCCAAGGGAAAAAAATGAAAATGCTGGAAAACCAGTGTGTTGATACTGTACCATACCAAATACAGTGTCACCTAGGTGCAGTTCTGTGCCGCTGCTTACTTATGTAGTCAAAAGGATTAAGATTTTTTCTATCAACCTGGTTGCTTTGCAGTGCGCATCAGCTCTGATGATTACTGACACTTGCAACACCTTCCCAAAACAAGCAGAACTCTGGGGAAATTTTTGTCTTAGAGCAACCTGCAAAATCGTAACACCACAGGTAACAAAGCTTTTCTTTGTCCTTTCCCCTTCATGCCTATCCCCAATGGGAAGGACTGACCTGGAGCAGTAACACCTCCAGTATGCCTCAGTTTCACCTGCTTTTCTGCTCCTACACTGACCAGGCCAGGCCTCTGTCTCAGGAAGCCTTCCAGGGCCTTGCTGTGCCAAGACATAACCAGCCAGTGGCCATATAAGTGGCAAACAGCCAAAATAAGGGGTACAGGAGTCAAGCAAATAAGCTTTGCTATCTGCCTCTCATTGGTGAGTTTTGCTTATTCTTCCTGTTTCCTTTCCTCCTTCCTTGAAACTTGTCCTGTAGTGACAGAATTCCTTAGGCATTATTTCTGACTGGGGACCATTCAGTGATTTGCACCATTTCCAGCTGTTGCTACAGGCCCTTTCTATTCACCCCTACTCCTCTCTAAAGTCCAACAGGGAATCACAGGGCCTGAAGTTCTGCCTAGAAAGTTCACAGTTCACGCTAAAGCCAGGAAGGACCAGAAAGGTGCTTTTACATTCTAGCCAAGGTTATGTTAGGAGTCTACACCTGAAATATTCATAAAACCATAAAAAGTATCAGTACCTTCAAAAGTGTTTCATGGGGAATTTGGAAGTCCAGTGCCCACAGCTTGCCAGTTAAGGGTAGCGGAGTCAGTTCTGGAAATAGCTTCCTTTGGCCCTCTGGATGTTCAGAAATATCAGAGAAATCCAGACACAAAGAAAGACAAGAACACCCACGAAAATTTTACTTTTAGAAAACATTGCTGTCCTCATGTCCCTTCTTACTCAGCTGTGACATACTAGCTGCAGAACCCCCCAGCCCCCTGATCCACACTCCCTCAGGCATTAGCCCTGTTGGAGCACTTGGACAGCACAGGCAAATTAACATCTAGTCCCAAGTGAATGCAAATGGAGTGTGTCCCTTGAGCTGTGCACAGAGTGAGCAGGAAGAACAGGTCAGGTGAACTGAGGTGGGCCATTTTTTGACTATCACAGTGAGAACAAGGGTGGTACCCCCTGTGGACATTAGCTTAGACTTTAAAGACCTGGTTCAATTCCCTGTTGTGCTACAGATTTCTGTGATTCTGGGCAAGCTGCTTCATGTGGTTTCATAGTATAGCCAGCCTGTAATCAATGTATAAACAAGATGCCTTGAAAACAAGCAGTCACATCCCTTCATTTTCCCTTTCACTGGGGCTGGATCTAGCAACCACAGAGCTATAAAGTGACTGGATTCATATGGCTGATCTTGTAGAAAGCCTTTTAGTTTTATCTGCAGTAATCGTTTTCTGCTTGTTCAGCACTCTGAACACACCTGCTGGCTGCTGTCTCAGTAAGCAGTGTGAGAACATGGCCAAGGACAAAAGACACAGGACCACTCCTTTTGGCAGACTCACTGGTTGTTTTAGCTGCAGTGAGAATCTTTGTCTGTATCCTGTCTACTTCAGAGTCCCTCCTGCTTGAGCTCCTAGGGCTCTTGCTGTCACAAGTACATTCCCACTTAACTACTCCAGTGACAATAGACAGAGAACTACCCTGTACAGAAATTATATTACACTCTCTGGTGATTGTTTCCTTCTAATGCACTAAAACATTCTCAGCTAATGCCCTAATAAGATTTTATATGCAGTAACTGTATGGATGGCTCCAGGATGGAGAGACATAATAATGGGAAAAATTTATGGAAGACTAAAACCAAATCTAATAGATTTGATATTCTTCAGAAACATTGTGAAAGACAGCAAAACATTGCAAAATGCTTCAAAAGACCTTGCAAGAGAGCCCAGGAATTGCCAGCATGGCTTTCTGCCCAAATAAACCTTTCTCTGAGAGATTTATTATTTTTTTTTTCAGTTTTGTCCATCTTCACTATCAGGAATTTGAAGGACTTTCACCAGACTGTCTGACACTGCTCAGAAGAGGCTGTACTTGGAGACAAAAGTGGTGACCTGTAAGGAAAAATGGTTTTGATCCTGTGTTGCAGCTGGATGCTATGAATGGGGGTTCCTCCTCTCTCATTGAACGTGCAACTGAGAGCACTACTGCCTCATCAGGACCACCCTGGGAGAGGCCTAGGAAACTCCTTGTGCTCAGCAACACAGTTGCAGGGACATTGCACTCTTCTACTGTCATCTTGCAGGCTTGTTACACGCCCAGCACCCTCTGCTTTCATTCTGACTCTCATGGAAAGGAAGAAAGAATAACTACTTTTTGCTAAGGTGCAGGGCAGCAAGATGAAGCTGACGGGCCTGGGTGGGTCCATGATTCTCAATGAATCAAAGATGTATTTGTCAGTTCACAAAGAGTACGAATTTCCAGTTGGATGCAGTTTTCCAAGTTTTTACCTTTACGTTCTGTGCTGACCTTGGTGTGTTCTCTGAGAAAGCACAGTCCAGGTGGTTTTTGCATGTGACCTCATTAGTCTCCCCTCTTCTCTGGCATAAGTCAAAATATGGACCAGTGCCCAATGCAAAGTGGTTGCTCTGGTTTCTGTTCCTGCCAAAAATAGGTCACAGAGAATCCAGTCCAGGTTGTCTTCAAATTGCAGAGCTTGGATTGCCTTTAATTTTCAGGCAAGAGAGAGGTGAGTTTAGAGTACAGCAGACATTACAACATGTGCAGTCATTGACCCCAGATGACTTCAGCAAATAATGTTTTGCAGAATCTCTGATTTTCCAAAGCAAATAAATGTGAAGAGTAGTAGGAAATAGTAATAATATGTCGTAAGTCTCTGTTTCTTCATGTCTGAACAAAGGATCCTGTCTTGTAGGCAATGTTATGAAGTGCTTTGAATGACAGCAAAAGATTAAGATGGAAGTTTTTTAATGGCAGATACTTCTTTCAGAGATGCTGAATTCAGAACACCCCATGGGGTTTTCTTGTTTCAGTGAAAAATTTAGGACAAATTTATAGAGTCCCACTATTCCACCACTGTCTTCCTGTATCATCCTGCAGGGACAGGGCCCCCTGGTGAAGATCTGGGAGATGGTTGAGGAGCCAGGGCAAAATATCAAAACCAGTGGAAAATACCAAGCAGCCTTGCCTTTAGCAGCCTTGCCTTTATATTTTCTATTTAAATTCCTAGCAGCGCTCTCAACATATTCAAGCATCCAAGATAAGTGTTAGCAGTAAGATCTGCTATTCAACTTTACCTTTTATTCTGCCTTTCATGCTTTGTCCTGTGGATCATATCTGTATCCTTCCAGGAGGGGGAGGGGAGTGTTTATACTTGTATTGACCATTATTCAATTTGTGCTATTTATATTTCTTATTTTCTTTCTCTTGTAGGACTCCTCTGTCTCAACCTTTCTACATCTGCAGGATATGATTTTCAAGCAGTTGTTTAACTGGTTCTCCTGGAAACAGCTACATAGAACCAAAGGCATTTGCATGAGGTTGGGAGATGGTACCCAAATTAAGCATGTCATTCACAGTTCTTCTGAATCATGTTCTTTACATGCTCCTCATAGAGAAATGATTGCTGTAAGTGCAGCAAAACCACTAATCAATATTTTCCAGGCTGTACTGCATTGGATTGTACCAATGTCTCTTTTCAGGGTGATAACAGAAAGCAGCAGCCTACAGCCAGTGAAAGTATACAATGGAAGTGGTAATCCTGGCAGCTTTAGTAGTAAGAGAGGTAATCCTGTGTAATACCATTTCCTCTCTGCAACTCTAATCACAAGAAAACAGAAGTGACGCTTTCTAAAGCAGAAAAGAGATTATGTCCTTTTAACTGCCTTTTTTGTAACCTTGCACTATTACTGCAATCAATAATTTCAAGAAAGCTTAGTCCTTAATTCTTATATCTTGTATAGTGATATGGTAATCTCTGCATGCTCTGCTGCACATTAACACGCTACATACAACAAACCCCTCTGAAGGAATATTGAGTGCTAATGTATGATAGCACAGGTTGTTCCCAGGTTCCCAGCACTGATGGGTTGACACTGAACAACACTGAAACGGGGAGGAAAATTCTCAAGTCTTACCTGGCACTTGACAAAACCTCTGAAAATTTGCTGAAATTTAGTGGGGCCTCTGGGACTTCCACACTTGGTCTGCTGGCATCCCACAGGGCTTATATTTGACATTGCCTGGTATGGATTTGTCTCTTCAGGAGCACCTCTCCTGTGTCATCTGAGAGCATGCCAGTTGCCAAAGAAGCTCAGAGTTAAAAGAGAAATGATAAATTCTGATAATTGCAATGTTAGAAATTATAAAAACAACAAAGTAGGAAACCACGTGAAATAGATCCCTTCTGCAGGTAGACATCAGGTCTCCTCTCAGTCATCCATTCACTGCCTTAACTATAAGCCAGCAGTGGCAGATCATGCCTTAGACCAGACCTGATTCTGAGTCACCATGGCTCTGATGACAATACCTACCAACAGTTTGGACCTCACTATGGCAGTGGGGTCTTCATTCTCCTTCCTTCTGCATATGTTTAAGAGCATTTGTCCTTGTTGCAGCTTGGATAACTGGCAGGCACAGGCAACAGCATGAAGAAATCACCCTCTCAGTTTGTGTTTTTCTTGGACACACATCGCCCGTGGCATGTTGATTTCCTTACATGGGAACCATCTTCCTATTTAGAAAATCATTCAATACTGGTTTTACCTGGTTTCTCTTTTCCCAGGATGGTAGGACTGTCTCTCCTGGATGATTTGGCTTTCCATGTAACAGTCTTCATGGCTCTTCACAAACAAGCAACATTTGCATTAGAAAATCTAGAATATTAGAAATCAGATCTGTGTAACACTTCTGATTCATTCTGAATCAAAGTGCTGGATTGTGTCCTTGAAGGCAAAACACACACCTCTTTGAATGCCAGAGTTGCCAGTCATTTTCCCCTCCTCTAGCAGCTTGAGAATCCAGGCCACTCCATGACATCCTTAAGTCATGTTTCTCCTTTTGCTGCATTCTGGAGAGAATTTCTTACTGAGAATTTCTTATTCATGAGGTCACACTGGAGAGCGATAGACCTTAAAGAATAACGGGCTGGGGAAGAGTGTGTCCTTAACTGAAATGTACTAATGACTATTACCACCAAATAAGGTAAAAGGAAGATAGGTAGGCTGGTGTCATTTAGGCTGGTATTTTTTAAGGAGAGAGGCTTAAATAAATCCATATTTTACAATGCAGAGTGCCACAGATTTCTCTGGAAGTTCAGTCCTGCTGAATACCTTATCACTTTACCTCTGTAACTTTATTTTAACTCTGAAACCTCTCCATTAGGCTGCCTGCAGTAATAAACTAAAGTTTTTCAAATTGATTTAGCTATTCCCTGAGGGTGAAAATACGGCTTTCTTAACTCAGTTTTGTCTGAGTCACACACACTCCATTTTCATTCCCTCTTAGGCTTGGAAGACTCCCCTAAATCCACCTTTTTCTCCATGAACTCTGGCAGTGATGTGTATTTTTGCAAGAGTAAGCTACAGATACAGCATTACTGCACATATAACACAATTTATTTGCACAGCATCTTTGGATTATTTTATAATTTATCTGCCTGCTACTTTAAATATGTAAGTTGTGTAACTTCCTTCAGATGTTGTATGACTGTGGTGCTATCTGAAACCAACACAGCCTGTAGCCTGTTTCCAGCAGTAGGGAGAGGAGCTGGGTCAGGCAGGCTGGTCTCCTTTGCTGGTCATGTCCTTCACTCATCACAACTCAGACACTGCTAGACTAGGAAAAGAAAACTGGAGCTGCTAATCACTCCCTTCTCTCCTTGCTGTTCCCTGTTTGTCCTCAATGCTGACCACCAGAAGATAGCTGAACTTCTTTTAATCCTACAGTAGGAGAGAGGCTTCTCTTATTCCCACCACTTCTCTACACTTGTAATTTTTCTTTTCTGGAACCTCCAGCAGAGCAGGGGCAGTTGGGCTGATGATGTTTAGTATATGACACTTTTCCACCAGCTATTTCTCTACCAGTGCACTGTAGTCTCTCAACTCCTACTGAGAGTTGCTTCTCCCTCGGAGGGGCAATTGTGAAAACTATTTTGAATGGAAAATTTCATTCCATGTACATGGAAGGAGGAAAAAAAATTGAAACCCTCTTGATTTGGGCTAAAAAACAGGTTTCACAGCTGCTGTGTTTTTTAAATTTTCTTGCTTCATTTCCTAGGAATGCCTCTGGAGCAAGAAGAAATCTATAGTTAAACCCCACAGTTTTAAACTGATCTTTACAATATATCTTTCCATGTACCTGTGCATATGAAGCCGTTGATTTGCTCCAGCTAATATGAGCTGCTTCCAAGCAGCAGAGCAGTACGGAACCACATTAACAGATCATTCATACAGATTTGTAGCAGCTTCTCAGAGCATGCTGGAGAAATGACCCAGGTAATTTAGGACTATTTTTCCTGTGTTTTATTTGTCTGGATTTATTCTATGTATTATTTTCTACCTTGTGTCTTCATTTTTATGTTCAGCCAGGCCCATAAACCCCTTTTCCCTCTAAGAGTTCCTCAAAGAGAATCGTTTAAAAATGTCACACTGCAAAGCTTGTTGTACTCTTAAACTCTTCTAAATCATCAGTGAGGACGTTAAATCAAGTCAAACCTAACACTAGATCATTAGGTACCATCCTTGAAAATATATCTTATCTCATCCAGTGAGTATCCATGCCTGGCAGATTTTACTGTGACTAACTGAACTTTATGTTTTCATACACATACAGAACATTACAAAATAGCCAACACACTAAACACAGTGAAGCAGGCATATTTAGTTGCCAGAAGGATATCTGTAGAAGACAGTGCTCTGAAAACACCTGCTGCGCAGAGTACCAGCACCAACACAGGTTTCAGGTGCATGCATTATGTCTTTGAAGCGCTGGCACTGTGTGCTCCAGAAGAATCACAGGATGGAGGCTGCTGAGAGGAGGATACCATAAGAGCATTCAAAGATTACCAAAGATTACACAAATAACAAAGATTATGGACAAGATTACCAGTGCTCAGGAGTGCAGGTTCAAACTCAATTTAACAGAGACTGGAAGTAAAAGACTTATGAAAAATAAAATTCAAATTTAAAATAATCCCTAGACCTGCACTCACCCCATCCAGCTGCCTCAAGCCTAAAGTACCTTCAGACTTAACAGAAGGCTAGAAATATTCAAGCTGATCAGCGCTATGTGGCACAAACTCTGCTCACATTGTGATAAAATACCTCTTTGAGAAGCAGCTGCCCATATTTCCTTTCTCTGTCAAATATAGCAGCACTAACAATGAAGCAACTAATACTGGCCACTTGAACTCTGTTATACCCTCCTGCTGAGCAATAGAAGCAGGTCAATAGGTGGATCAGGAAGTTAAGGCTCCCCTATGGGATGGATAAATGAAGATTAAAAATTGTTGGTTTGTTAAGAATTACACTGATACCCGAGTTACATGAACCTTGCTTCTTAGAAAGTTCACTCATCTCCCTGCACTGGGCGGAGAACTGAATCCTGCATGCTGTCTTGTAATCAGTCTACAATCACTCAGGAACTTTGTATACTGTGCAGTTCAGAATGTGAGTGATGCTTTTGGGTACTGGCACCCTAACTAAAGCTAGGCTGCTGATCCTGACTTGTGTCCTGCAGCTGTCTAGTTGCCTGTGTTGGTTCTGTGCTACACTCTCTGAACTCCTACAGAATCATAAATTCATTCTTTGTCATTCCTTTATAAATCATGATGTGAACTGGTTTGAACTCACTTGAGCTAAAATTAAAAAAAAAAAAAAAGAAGAAAAAGAAGAAGAAAGAAAAAAGGCAAGCAAAACCTGTTGTCTGTAAGATTTGGTCTCAGAGAAGGCACCTTCTTGATAGAGCTGATTAGACCAGACGTCCTGTTGTGAACGACTGTTAAAAGGCAAAAAGGCATTGGAGTGTAATTCACCTTGACAAATGAAAGCAACTTCTAACAGCATGATTCCAACCTTTCAATCTAGAGAGACATCTCAGAAGGCTAGGGTACAAATGAAATTAAACTTACCTGTGTGTGTTGGAACAGCTGACATTTCTTAGGTACATTTTTTATGTACAAATCTCATCTAGCAAAATGACTTGCTGATTCAAATCATAGTGCCCAGATCTCCCATCATTTGATTTACACACAAAGCTGCCTTAGCCATATTGCTTTGAGTCAAATGGCAATGAATGTTCTTCAGACCACATGTTTGCCATCTCTTGTCCTGCAATCATTATGTGGTATGGCTCATCAGATCTGTCTAACTTTTATTGTTAGCTGTAACAAACACCCAGCATAAATCCAATATTCCTTATACAGTTTTATTCTCAAAAGGATTTCCTTGTTTTATTCTGCATTGTTTCTGCTTATACAGCCCTAGACCTCTCTTTCTGTCTCTCTTGCACTGAATATTTGAGTTCAGGGTGATTTTTGAGGATACAATAACTGTATTTTTCACATCCTGAAACTCAACTGTCTCCAAGTCTCCATAAATCTTTTCTTTCATGACACTGAGGTTTGCTGTTTCTTTCAATTTAGTTCAGCTGCAACCATAATTAATGCAGCATTTCACAATGGAAAATGTAATGGAGATATTGAAGATAAAAAATGTGGGCAGATAATAACATTTACAGTATAAGGATTTTATAGGGAGGGATTTCCTCATCTTGGGTTACCCACAATTCCTAATTCAAAGCTGCCCTGACAGCACAGACTTGAATGCAGATCTGAAGATACATGGTTCCTTTATAACACATTAAAGGAAGTGCGTGTAACCCTTAACCAGTTATCATGTTATAGTTTGGGGTTCTTTTTTTAACCAAAAATTTCACTCTAGCAATGAGGAAAATTTGATTTACTGTTCCCAATCCTTTTTTCTCACCTGAAGACATCTGGCTAATGAATAAATAAAGCTTCAAAGAGCCAGCAGCAAGACTTTTAGTCAAAGGCAAATGAATAACTTTAAGTGCATTTTGGCTCATTTTTCAGGATTACAAGTTGCTTGAATAAGCATCTTTTTCTAGTCTCCCAAGTGATGTCTCAGCAGGCATTTGGTCAGGGCACTGTCTGAAAGTTAGAGCAAATTGTTCAAATGGAAAATGTAGGATTGCGATAATAAATGTTCAAATGGAAGACAAATACTGAACTATTTTAATTCTGAATAAATTGCATAAAACTTAAGCACAAGATGTATTGTATCAGAAGAAAGCTCAGCTGGTCTCATGTTCCATTTCTGGCAGCGCATGATAGCACATGCCTTAGGAAAGTTTATA